ATCGCATGAGCGAATAGGCTCAAAGGGTGACCCGGTAAGGGCCTGTAAAACCTTTGACAAATCCCAGGAAGGATAGCGATGAACCGTTGGAGGTTTTATATTAGCTGCTCCTTTAAGAAAGGAACGGATCATAGGGTGGTGAGCAAGAGAGGAAGCGTCGTCGCAAGAAAGAACCGTGGCTAGAGCAGCCACCTGTCTCTTAAGAGTATTAGAAGACAACCCTTTGTCCATCCCGTCCAACAAAAACTGTAGGACCTGAGGTACAGTGAGAGATGAAAATTGTACCTGATGCTTGGACATCCAAGATGTAAAAGCCCTCCAAGTAGAATCATAAACTCTATTCGTGTTTTGGTTTAGAGTTCTAGTTGTCTCCATGGATTTTTGAAATACTCTTTATGTCACAAAAAAAGGGTGAAGATGACGAGAATTGCACATACTTAGAAGTATTGTTTACAAATCAACAGAAATAATCATTCCAGCTGTACTCCAGATTGGTCAAGCTGAGTCATTGCTTTTTAAACCATAGAAACTGAGAAAGTTAAAGAAGAAAACCATAGAACAGGCAAACTGGACAGGTTTAATCTTGCAAAATACAGGTAGTTCTCAACTTATGACTGACTGAAGTTAAGACAGATGCAAAACTGGAGAAATATGGTTCAAATCCAAAGTTTCAATGGTCAGCCCCACCCCAGTGCATGGTCACATGACTCCACTTCAAGTACTCAGTAGCACAGCCACATTTACAACTGTTGGAAGCATCCTGTGATCATAGGATCATGTATTAGTAGTTTTGCCAAAAACTGCTGTTACTTCCAGTTCATGGTAAAACTACGCCATTGTGAATAATTGGTTCACTTAATGACCAAGTTTTTCACTTAACAATCACGGATTCACTTAATGTTCGTGATGATTTGCTTAACGACTGCCACAAAAAAGTCAAAAAATTTGAGTCGGTTACATTACCCAGTCTCCCAAACTCCCCAATTATCAGTAATAGAAGAGCAAAGGATCAAGTTAATAGCTCAATGGTTGAGCACAAAATGATGACTGTGGGAAAAGCTTACTACCCTTTCAAATCAGGATTAGATTCATGAACAATTTATCTTTGTAAGAGCTGTTAAGCCTAGAAGCCTTCCTAAACTAATTTCAAATAAAGCTTTAAAAACTTCAACGGAGGGGAGATGAAGAAAGTGAAAAGCAGGATCATAGCAGAGATTTCAGGTACATAATGGTCCTGGCTCCAGCTGTCAAGATAAATGAGAATAAATATGAATGAAACAGAATTAGTGGGGTTTGCTATGGTATTTATATGAAACTGTATGGATATATGTGTAAGAATAACAACAGAAAGAATAATAGAGATGGAAGAGACCTTGGAGGTTTTCTAGTCCAACCCCCTCCTCAGGCAGGTAACCCTATACCATTTCAGACAAATGGCTGTCCAGTCTCTTCTTAAAAACTTCCAGTGTTGGAGCATTCACAGCTTCTGGAGACAGGTTGTTCCACTGATTAATTGTTCTAACTGCTTCTTTAAAGAGATGTAGAAAAATCCTATTTTCCCCTTTCCACATAACTTGAAGCACTATTTTGAAAATGAATCCAAAACACTGCATAGCTCCAAAGTTTAATTTATTCACTTCTTAGTATCAGTTATTAAAATGAGAATGTCTATTACCACTGATCATAACAACACAATTACTCAACATTTATTATATACAATCTTTTAGCTAAGCATTATTAATTGAAAATAGATGCTTTATGAGTTGGTGCCATTCTTCAAAAATAAGATTGAGAAAAGTTCCGACTATTCAAAGCACAGATTTCTTTAAAACAGGAGTGTCCAACCTGTGGGCCACATGCACCCTTGAACAGCTAGTAATGAGGCCCCACTAGATAATAAAGAGTCAAGCATAAGAATCAGGAGCCAGAGTGGTTCAAATGAATACAGTTTTTTTGCATGCTAGTACCCTCTACAAAAATATGAACTACTAACATTCAAAGCAAATTGGATAAGAGTTTATGGAAGTCAAGGAGGGCTGGACTTAGATCTCCTGTGGGCACGAAAGGACTGGAGACTTATGATGCATTTGATCCTTCCCTTTGGCTCAGCCTGGTCATCTCCTACTTAAACTTGTAACATTATTAGGTAATTTTAGCAATATACATTCACTATATTTTATATTTTATATGTTGCCTAAGACAATTCATTTAATGTGATCCAGGCAACCCAAAAGTTTAGTCATACCTTCTTTACAATATACGTACAAGGAATAACACAAGCACTTACAATATAAAATACTAGCATTTTTAAAAATCTGTATACGTTTAATAAAATCAATTGTATTGATTGAAAATTTTGAAACACAGCTGATTTTTTTAAATCTATGACAAAAAATATTTCAAAGAAAAACCAGTCAAAAGAATATTCTTTTTTACTTGAGACAAAAAAACTATACATTATGTGGTTCTCTTTGGAAAGTTTTAAATATGTCTTCTATCCCATTCTCTTGTCTTCATAGCATTTTATTCACAATGTACAAGACATCTTCACAGAGCAGTCTGAAAAATAAGAATAGTGAAAAAACTTTATAAGGTATGAATGACAGTAAGTACACTTATTCCTCATTAGCTATAATAACTACTGACACAGAATTATCACCAAGAAGTAATTACTTTATTGTGCCATTATTAGCAATAGGTATAAGGCTTAGATCTCCCGGTTCCTAATTATGGATTTCATTCATTTGCAAGAGCAGATGAAAAAACTATTGTGAAGAGATGGGAGTTGTTGTGTGCATGCCATAAGCAGAAGCTCTTTCCATGAAACCTATTTCACACTGCATCTCCAGATAAATGTCTCTGTCTGTATGCAATGATCAACATAAAACAGCCTCTAAATCAGGCATGTCAAACTCGCGTCACATGACATTGCATAACGTATCGCGACTTTTCCCCCATTGCCAGCAATGGGGTGGGCGCGGTTTCAGTATGATGCATCCGGCCCGTGGGCCGGCAGTTTGACATGCCTGCTCTAAACAGATACTGGTTGACCTTGATGGTTCCAAAGTCGCCAAGGGGTTTCAAACTTCTTACAACATTGAAATAGTGGCTGAGCTCACAAATGCTAAGCAAGGATTCTTAAAAATATTCCTGATTGGCTCAGTCACTGTGACTTAATTTGCAGCTTTAAACTGCAAATCAGTGTGTGTGAGTTCACATTTCCAATTAAATTGAAGTGGAAGAACATGATGGATTAATCAGGTCTTCCCAACTTGTGGAAATAGAACTGCCAGAATTCTCCATCTAACATAGCCATTGCTGAGATTCTTAGGAGTTCACAAATGTAGAAAAAGCTCAGATTTGGTACAGCTAGTTTGTTATTTGTATTAACAAGTCATTGACTGTACTGAGCTACCATGCTGAACTGGATTTTAACATAATGAAAAGAAAACATTTCTTTTTTCTTCTCTAATGCAGCAAAAGGAGGTGATTTTTTTCCCACGAACAGAAACATAGTTTATTAAAAGGAATTATATACTTCACATGCATTTAATCATATACATTGCTCAGTTTCTAGATGAAAACTCAGTATCAGTCTGCCAATTTAGAATCAGCAAATGAATTTTTAAAAATTCATTCCTTATTTTTGAAATAAGATAAGTGAATTTAAAAAAAAACGGTTGTTATTATTGCACATAAAACCAATGATACTAAGGTATGAACACTACTGCCTCATTTTAACAGTACAGAAACCATGCATTATCCCCAACCCAGTACAAATAAGTATATAAAATAGAGCATTAAAGAAACATAATCCCTCGAAATTACCTTTCCGTGTCTTCTTTGGTCATTTCACTGTGCATCATTATTTTTTTCTGAAGAGTAGCTGCAATGTCATTCATATAGAAAGGTTGTTTATCTGTGAAAAATGCATGATTATGTTGAAGATTTTTGAGTCTTATTTGAAAAGAAAAATATGTTTGTTCTCTATTGCAGATTAAAAACTCAAGATTTCTCTTCTTCTCAAATAGCAGTATGTTCTAAATCTATTACTGGTAGTCCTCAACTTACAACATATTGCAACCAATCTTCTTTTATGCCCATTTGCAGCAACCCACAGTTATGTGACTGAAATTTATATTTTTACTGGAAACCAGCATTAATTTAGATTTTTACCCCATCTTTTTTACTTCACAGTATAATTAACCAAGGCAGCAAACATACATAATACTTCTTCTTCCTCTTATTACTTTCAGTTTCCAGCAAAAATCGCCCCATAATAAACAATGAATTCACTTTATTTGAATTTTTTGAATTTTATTATATTTATACCCCGCCCTTCTCCTGGAGGACTCAGGGCGGCTTACAGCCAGTTTAAAAACAACTTAATACAATACAACATACAAAATTTAAGAAAATGATTAAAAATAAATATTTAAATAGGCCGCTTCTACTAAAATTTAGTTAAAACCAATTTAAAATACCCCTAGGCCAGTCCTGCCCGCTGAAACAACCAGGTCTTGAGGGCGCGGCGGAAGGAGGGGA